TGCCAGAACCCTTTGAGCAGTGTGGAGCTCATTCGGCCAGAACCACAGCTTTCGGGTTGAAACAATGGGAACTTTTTTCACGTTGGTTTTTATCTCGAATGCCTGCAGATATTGAAGGTTCTTTTTGGGCATGCCCGCAACTCTTGGGTCATGCCATTGCGCAATACGGATATCACCTCTATGAATCTGGCGGAGCTCTCCATAGTTTGCGACACCTTTTGACTCATGTGCAGCGAACTGTCAGTGGAACGCGTGGCCACTTGGGACCTGCATGGGAAGTCGTCTCAAAATGGGAAGCCGTGCAGCCTGTGCAGCACCGCAGACCTATTCCTTTGAAACTGGTTGAAGCAATTGTAGGTCTTGCAGTTGCTTGGGGGTGGACCAGATTTGCAGTTGTAGTCTTGCTTGCTTTTTATGGGTGTTGCCGAACTGGTGAAGTGTTGAGGGCCCAAAGAAAGCACCTAGTATTCCCCAAAGACCTTTGCTTAGCTGAGACCGGTCATGCTTTGTTCATGCGCATTGTTGAGCCGAAACCCCGTCGAAGGGGCTTGGGAATGGTCCAGCATGCGAAGATTGGCGAGCCTGGAGTTGTCGCGTGGATTCAGAGTGTGTTATATGTTTTGCCTAGTGACGAATGGATATATCCCGGAGCTCCTAGTAGTTTCCGAAAAAGATGGGATTCTGTCATGGCTGCGTTGGAAGTTCCCAAGTCATTGTTGCTTACTCCCGGCGGCCTGCGGGCTGGCGGAACCGTTCAGCTCTACCGCAATGGGTGTGGTATACATGATATTCTTTGGTCCCTCCGACTCAAAAACATCGAAACCCTGCAGCACTACCTCCAGGAAGTGTCCACAGAGGTCACCATGTTCGATTTGTCTGCCAGGGCCAGGTATTTTATTTCGTGTGTTTCAGAGCTTCTCCCTTTTTTACTTCAGACCGCTAACTCTTGAGACGGGCAACCGCGGGAGCGCGCGACCTCACCGTCGCTGGCCACGTGCTATGAGTGGATTTGTCGTCGGCTTTCATTGACGCCTTGTTGCTGCTTCAGCCACGGTCACCACTTAGGGCATTTCCTTTCTTTTGGCTTGGATTCGATTGCGAGGATAAACTTGCACAGTGTGATTTTGATAGCCTTGCTTGTGTATTGACGCCTTATTTTGCTTTGCCGCCTTACGGAACGACAAACTTGCTTTGGCTCCTCCTGACCAAGTATTTCGTTGACGGCAGTGCATGTGCGTTAGCGCCTTCATTTGCTTTGGCCATCATGTGGGACATCACAGTTGCCTCTTGTTTAACTTTTTGGATCGCATAGCCTTGTGGATTGTGGTGGTGGCTTTTGCATTTGCGTTATTCATGCCGGCATTCATCATCAGTACTACAGCTGGCAAGCAGGAGTTGGAAAAAGGGCAGGCGCGAGATGTGGGGGAGACACATGCCTCTCATGTGTTGACTCTATATCGGGGTAGTTTTCGGCCCCCCCGCTGCCACCCGGATTGGTCGTCGGCTTTCATTGACGCCTTGTTGCTGCTTCAGCCACGGTCACCACTTAGGGCATTTCCTTTCTTTTGGCTTGGATTCGATTGCGAGGATAAACTTGCACAGTGTGATTTTGATAGCCTTGCTTGTGTATTGACGCCTTATTTTGCTTTGCCGCCTTACGGAACGACAAACTTGCTTTGGCTCCTCCTGACCAAGTATTTCGTTGACGGCAGTGCATGTGCGTTAGCGCCTTCATTTGCTTTGGCCATCATGTGGGACATCACAGTTGCCTCTTGTTTAACTTTTTGGATCACATAGCCTTGTGGATTGTGGTGGTGGCTTTTGCATTTGCGTTATTCATGCCGGCATTCATCATCAGTACTACAGCTGGCAAGCAGGAGTTGGAAAAAGGGCAGGCGCGAGATGTGGGGGAGACACATGTATATATACGTATACTCTGATGCTCAGTTTTGAGCAATTGCAATTTTCGTTGAACAAGTTATTTGAAGCTCGTGTGAGCTCAAGATTCAAATTTTCGTGTGTGTCCTCTGCTCAGCTCCGCGCCCGGGCGCTCGCCATACCACCATTGCCCTTGCCTTCGGGTCCATTGTGCATCAACGATACAGTATCACCTTGTTTCTGGGCAGTTTGAGCACTCTTGATTTCCGTGAATCGATCATCATGTACGAATCTCCTGATCCTACGGCAGTAGGCAGTCCGCCTGTGATGTCGGACGACGATGACTCTGCTGCAGATTTCCAGCTGCCGCCCCCGAGTCACCAAAATGGAACCATGCTGCTTTTCTATGCACACGCCACTTTGCGTAGTTTGATGCGACCTTTCTTCAATTTGGACCCCGACGACGCGAGCAATATTATTCGATTCAAAGACCACTCTGGGAAACCCTTGGCCTTTGATGCCACCATCGGGAGTCTCACTTGGCCCCGGCGTGTCACTGCATATGTGTCTGATAGGACTTTGTTCCTTCAGGCACAACAATTTTTTGACCAATTTCCCAATCGCGAATACCACGATTTGGAGCGCCAGGAGCAAGAGCAACGTTTCAATGTACGATTGCGCCTTTACTATGTGAATATTTTTCACTTTTCCGATTCTCTCGAACAGGAGCTGGACCGTATACCAATGCACAGTTGCATCGCCTCCAAAGTCGCTTGAACCTTTTGGAAACTCATTTGCGATCCGGGGGTGCTACCCCATTACCACTGCAACCCCTTCAAGTCCTGCCATATGACCCTTGGACTGACGATGGTCCTCTGAGCTTGATTGTCCAACAGCATCAGCCAAAACATGTTTGGGGTAGCGCGCGTTTTGTCTTCAATAGTTGGTACTTTGATCGAACTCCATTGAGCTTATAAGTCATGCGACATGGACATGCATGGATTTATGTACTTATACCTATATATATATATATCTGCCTACATATAAAATAATTTCCAATCTCGTGAACCTGCGGGGTCTCTAAATGAAATTTTCAGCTGGTCCAAAATCGGCTCTGTTGGGACCCGAGTGGGCGAGTGCCCTGAACTCAGATTAGGCTGTCAAGTGACGGCTTCTCCTCATCTTTTGGTCGAGTGACCTACCATGACAGCAGCTTCCATGCACATATGCCGAGGTGGCTGTGTGTGGGAAGCCATGTTCTCAGATACTCTCGGAGTTCCATGTTCATTTGCATGTCATGGTCTTTCTTTGCTTCTCCTCATCTTTTGGTCAAGTGACCTGACATGACAGCAGCTTCAATGCACATATGCCGAGGTGGCTGTGTGTCGGAAGCTGTGTTCTCAGATAATCTCGGAGTTCCATGTTCATTTGGATGTCATGGTCTTTCTTTGTGTAAATCACCCCCCGTAGGTTGAAGAACATTCGTGACAGAGTCTAAAAACCTTGGCGGCCGGAGTGGCCATTTTTCTTTGAGTCGTGAGAGACCACCATGATCTTGTCAGAACTCACTGAACCATGTACACGATTTATGTGAACTCGAATCACGTGATTCTTGTTCTCGACTGTCAGGTTGAAGAGATCGTCCAAAGTGGACGTCTGGACCTGGCGACCAAGTGGTCAGTCTGGAACTCACGTGAGACCAGCGACATTGACATTCTTTAAGATTTTCCATAATAGGCGAAATGCTTAAATCTGAACTGAGTAAAAGTCACCGTTTCTTTATAACTCAGTCCTTGACCTGTTGTTCGTTTTTAATTGAGCAAGGTGTCGTCGACATCAGCTGAGCATCCGAACACTTTATCATTGCTTCACCAAATACAGCTGTGAGCGCCCAGTGTTCACCTCAGCTGCCTACTTTAAACCCAACTCCGTTAACGAAGGGGAGTAAGTTGACTGGTGGATATTTCTTTTCTATTATTGAATAGTGAGATACGCAAGAGCGTTTTCGATTTTCTGGAATCTACTCGAGTTCCTGGTTGCAGTCAGGTCGCCATCTATCCTGGGGCACCAACCTCAAATCGCGACGCAATGCCAATGCCGTAGTTAAACCAAGACTTGTGCTTGTCTCATTCGGTAGCTCGAGCATGGTGTGAGAGACGGAAGTGGTGTTCCACTCACTTGTGCATTCGCCTTAGTGACCTGTGTTTCTTTGCCGAACGCAACTGCGAACAGCCGCACCAGTTGAGAAATTTGCTATAAGCCCCTCACGTTAACTGCTGAACCTGAGAGTTTGCAAGTGCAAGGCTCCCGCCTGCCCGACAACATGCAGCCTAGAGTGCAAGCGGGCAGATCATCTGCCTGGCGAGGCGTTGATGAGTTTGACCGATCAGCACCAACACCTGGGCACGGTAGCATAATGATCTCAGGGCTCATCGGGAATATCCTTGATACCCAAAATCTGGATGAAGTACGTAAAGTCGGAAAGGCGGAAGCCTGCATAAAAGAAATCATTCTACACATGGGTAGCCCCACAGCAATAAAGCCCCTTATTGATTTTCTTATGGAGATCGAGGCGGCGAAACAGTGGCTTTCCAAAGGCAAAGCCTTCGAACCACATAACTACTTAGGCACCCTGTGCCGTCCTGCGTTGCGATCTGAAGACTGCTGTGGACCTGAGATATTAAGACATCGAGCATCTCCTCATTTCCATGGAAATTGTGAAGCTTTTGATTTCTGGTTAAACGAACTGCTGTCCTCGCTCACCGCACCAGAAGATTATCCGGCAGTGAGATTCATTTGCGATGTCCATATTTCTTTGCGCACCATTTTGCTTTGTTGTGCTTGAGCTTTCCCGCAATTCATACGACAGCCAGATTTCTTGGCGCACCATTTTTAGCTTGTTGTGCTGAGTTTTTCCAAAGAACCCTCCTTCTCCGGCCGGGCACGTAAAGGATCCCAACCATGCAGAGCAGAATAGCAGCGCGAAAGGAAAAGAAGTGAACTTGAAAAAATTACCAACACGCGCTCGCAACTCGCATCACACGTGCAGTCAAATCTAGTAATTTGCAACCTATACTACTGCTTGTAGCTGTTCTTCCGAAGGATTTCTCCACCAAGCCTAAATGACGGACTGCCAAGACCCCGAGATGGAACAAGGTTCCAACTTGCCGTTGCCTCCTGGTATTGACGGCGAAGAGACAAATGAGCCGCAAGTCGAGTCCGAACTAGAAAGCCCAAGTACACTTGCAGAGAAAGTCCTTGCCGAAGCACAGCAGGCTTTAGCTGATAGCTGTGATGTTAGCCGGGGTGACTACCTCTTCGGAGGTCCAGATCTCGACCCCGAAATTGAGAATGGCCACGCTGGATCTGAGGGAGAGGTTGACGGGAGACGCATCATGGATGAAATTCCTGCCCCTTCACCTGGACAGCTTGACACTTTCAATAGCTTGGTTACGCAGGCTACGCTTAGTGCCGACGTCAGCGACGGGCTGAAGTTGCCGTGGGAGCAGGGAATTTTCAAAACTATTTTTGATGACGCCCCACTATGGGGGCTCCCAGAAATCCCTCAAATCTCCCAGTCAACATGTGGACAATATCCAGAACCTGAAGAACTTGAGATTGACTATCCATATCCAGAGCCCAGAGCCAAAGTGGCACGGACATCTCGGGTGGTGCATGGCCTTTATGACAGAGCGATCAGCTTCGGTCTGACTTTAACCGACCAAGAAATTGACAAGAACAAGTGGGCACGATCTCTGGAAAAATTGTACACGCTCTTCACCGTGAATTCTTCCAGCTGCCCTGAAAGTCTGAAGTTGGTAGCCGATGACATGGAACAGAACCTTGCCCGCATCAGACATCTCTGTGGCCTTAAGAGCTCAGGGACAATCTTGAAGCGTGCAAACAGCTTGCTACGATATGTGGCGTGGCACAGATCATTCTACTACCAGCGACAGCCCTTTCCTTTCGTGCCTCAAGAGATCTCAGAATATATCTGGGAAAAATTCCAAGATGGAGTGAGCTACAGCTCTCTTAGTTCTTTCGTCGAAGCTGTCAACTTTGCGATCCATGTGTTAGGCATGCCTGCTCTGACCAGAGGAAAGCCACTCGTCGATCAGTTTACCAAAGGCATTTTAGACAGGGCAGCGCTCCAAAGACCAGGCCGTAAACAGGCTAGGCCTTTAACTGTGCATGTTTGAAAAACACCGAAATGAACCTGTTCGACCGGTACGCGGCGGGCTCCTTTCTGTTCGCTATTTACGCTCGATGCCGCTGGTCAGACATGCGAGCTGTCAACTCGTTCGACTTTGACGTTTCAACAGAAGAAAATCACGTGCATGGTTTCCTTGGATTTACAACTTTCAATCACAAAACGGCATCGCAAGTTGCCAGACATGGCTTACCTTTGCCCTTAGTTGCCCCAATCTGGGGCCTTGAAGCCCCGGCCTGGGGCTTGATGTGGAAGAAGGTAGCTCGAGAAGCCGGGGTGGACTTCAGCGAAGCCTTCGCGGGCCCAGTGCTGCCGGCTCCCCTCAAAAATGGAACATGGGGGTCGCGTTCAGTTGGATCCAGTGAAGCGAGCAAATGGCTTCTTGCCCTACTCAACAAAGTCAGCGACAACCTGGAGACAGTGTCATCGCACTCCCTAAAGTGCACTACACTCTCATGGTTAGCAAAAGCTGGAGCGGACGAAGCCCACAGGTTGGTGCTAGGACACCACAGCAGTGGGCGAGGATCCCTGGAGATCTATTCCAGGGACATGCTCGCAGCCCCTTTGCGCACTCTCGAGGGGGTCCTCAGACAGATCCGTGTTGGGGCACTCCAACCAGATCGCACTCGGTCTGGAATTATCCAGAAACCCACAAGAGATGATTGTAGAGACACAGATCCTCAGAACAGCGGCACAGAAGAACAGCCTGGACGGGAGGCATCCAGCAGTTCATCTTCTTCATCTACATCAAGCTCAGACTCCGACTCAGCCGACAATGAGTCAGATGCGGAAGACCAGATTGGGCATTGGGCCAAGCTCTCCCAGGACAACAAACACCAACAGTCTTGGGGCATTTGAACGATGTACCAGCATAAGCTGAGCAAAGTCGTGCACCTAGAAGCAGACTCCGAGAAACGCCAGTTTGAGTGCGGCATCATAGCATCGCATGAGCACGAAATCGTGACACAAACTCTTTTCCTCGAAGCCAGGAAATGCAAACGATGTCAGAAAGCGGTTGGAGAAGCCTGAAAGGCGTCTCCTGACACTGCATACGACCTGCAGGCAAGGTGGTGAAAATTGTGTTGCCTTACTTTCTTACTGCAATGCTCGTGTATTTCTTTGTTTAAACAGCATAGTCATTTTACAAACTTTCCCGTGCCCGTCGCTGCATTTAAGGCCTCGCAACCGCCCCTGACATTTGCCACATAACTTGAATAACAGCAGATATTTCTTGAGTGCTCAGCCGATAGACATTTTCTTTAAGCTATTCTCTTTACAGCTTTCCAAAGCACCATGGCGCATGCCCCGCAAGAGGCCACTTCGTTGGTGTACTCCACTGACGCCTTGACGTCTCGGGCCAAGAAAGCCGGCTTGAGCCAAGAGGAGATCGATGCCATTTTGGCGAGCAATGTGAAAAGCCTTGCGCAACTTGCATTTGCAGTCTCGCCTCCAGGTGCGTCTCCGTCAGATAATGCTGTTCGTGCTTTCTTTGGAGGATCAGTAGCTGTCAACCTTGCCACCATCACTTCGTTCAAGCTCCTTGTTTTTGAAGCCCATACGTTGGTGGTAGCCAACATCAAATCAGAAGTCACCAAGCGTGACGAACCAGCCACTCATAGTGTCCTTCCGCCAGCTGAGAGGGATCGTCGCATCCGTGAGCAGACAAATCGCCTCAAAGGCTTGAGGTTCCGAGGGGACGAAGAATGCGCCCATAGCAACTATGACCTCGTTTTTTCCTTGATCGAAAAGGACACTTTGCTTTACATTCACCCAGAAAAGTTCATTACTCGCCGTTGTGAACTCCAACAGAAACGGCCAAGCAAGGAGGTCGTCCTTGACCACAACTCACTGACGGTGAAAGAAAAGCAGAGTGAGCTGACATGTTCCACCCGCACGGAACTTGAATTGTTCCAAGCCATGAGCCTCTAGAGGCTACAACCACACTTCTTTAGTTCAAGTACTCAGAGCCGATCGAGCAGCCTTTCTGCACATCGCCGAGCAGATCACGACCCTCAAAAGGGATAGCGCCAACGAACTGCCGCTTGAGAAGTTGTTGCCACAAGTGCTGGCAAAATCCAGTGTCAGCTTTCACCTGCTCCCGCTGGCAACAGGTGGCAAATCCGCAGTTCCCAAAGCAGAGCCAAAAGCCAATCCCAACAAAAGGAAATATGGCGCCAACACTTCCCCTGCCCCTGCCCCTCAACAGCCCAAGGGCAAAGGGAAGGGAAAAGGAAAGATGAAGAAAAAGGGTCGCGGCCCGAATGTGCCAAAAGAGTTAATCGGCAAGGCTCTCGAGGGGCCCAACGGACAGAGAATTTGCTGGCCATTCAACCTCAACTCCGGCTGCCGTGATGCACCACCAGGAGGCACATGCACCCGCGGCCTCCATATCTGTGCGGAGCCCGGGTGCGGCAAAGCACACGGCCTCCCTCAGCATTCGTGACAAACGATGCCAACAGCACAGAATCCTTTGCCCTCTGATTTTTCCGCCAAAGTACAGAGTAAGTGCAAAGGAGTAGAAGCTAATAGCCTTTTCTGTGTCGAAGTTTTCGCCGGTACAGCTCGGCTAACAGCCGTGCTCAAGCAAATAGGTTTTCGTGACTCTTTTGGGATTGATCACAAAATCCATTCGAAGCTCAGTGGCCCTGTGATTTCCCTTGACCTCATGCATGATACTGCCGTCGCCTACCTGGCGTCGCTAATTCAGCAAGACCGATGTATCTACGTTCATTTTGCACCGCCATGCGGCACTGCTTCCAGAGCGCGTTTCATCAAACGCCGTTTTCGATACAACCCACCCATTTTGAGGACAGATCAGTTTCCAAATAGCCTTCCTGGACTGCGCCCAGATCTGCAAACCCGTGTTCAGGCAGCCAACAATTTGTATAAAGTCACTCAGCAGCTTTGCAGACTGTGTCATGCTCACGGTGTTCTCTTCTCTCTTGAGAACCCTGCACGAAGCTTCTTGTGGGACACCACGTACATGAAAGCCTTTCTGCAGGAAGTGCCGCATTTCCAAACGCGTTTCCACCATTGCCAGTTTGGTAGTTCGCGCAGAAAATATACTGCTTTTACATAATATACCCACCTTACAAGCGCTCGAATGTCATTGTGACAATTCTCATTCTCATGAACCGTGGGGTCCCACCCCACACGGGTGGGCAACTGCGCTTGAGACAGCATATCCCTGGGAACTGTGTCGGGCCATTTCAGCTAAAGTGGCTTTGTTTCTGCAGCAGCTTGGGGTCCAATGTACCACCCCACAGTTCGCTCTTCAAACTTTGCAGCTTGAGCAAATTCGGCATGACACTATGACCCAGAGTACCTCCACAGCTTTGCCTTTAGTGAGCGAATTTCACAAAGTCATTTCTTGGCCAGTCAACAAACCTTTACCTCCCAACTCAAGACCTCTTAGCACTCCTCCAGTGGGGGCAATCGCGAGTGAAGGTTTCAGAACAATTGGTATTCACCGAAATCCAGAGGATTTCGTCAAAGATGCCCTGGCTTGCAAACATCCAAGCACTGCAAGTGATGAGTTGCCACCCCCTATGTTGAGGGCGATCAAGTTCACGACGGAACACACTCCTGAGCATGTTGGCAAGACCAGATCCTCTGTTCTCAGAGAAATGGTGGCCAAAGCAAGGGAGCTGACTCAAGGCGAGGAAGATCTGAAAAGCAGCCTGTCAGTGCGCAGGAAGGAAATTCTTGCTCCAAAAAGAATGTTGCTTTTTAAGTGGTTGATGGAAAAATCGGGATCTTCCAACACCTCTCTTTTCCAAGACACGTGCAACGGGTTTGACTTGACCGGGACCTTGCCAGAGTCCCACATCTTTTCCAAAAAGTTCAGACCAGCGCATCTTCCCACAGAAACCTTGAGAGGAGTGGCCAAGCAAGCCAGATTTGCCCTGCTTTCTAGTGTTAAGAGCTCAGGGGACCACGCGCTGGATCTAGGGGTTTACGAAGCAACTCTGAAAGAGCAGCAGAAAGGTTTCGTTGTCGGTCCGATACATCCCGACACCTTGCCAGATGGTGCGACCTTGACCAGACGCTTCGGGGTACAACAGAAGGGGAAGGTCAGACCTATCGATGACTATACCGGGCATCTGTGGTCAATTCGGCTGTCACGCAGCCTGAAGCAGTCTCCATACATGGGGTAGACCATATAGCTGCGATGGCCGCGGAATTGCTTCGCTCGGCCACTGGTCGAGGCCGATCCCTTGATCTAGTGGCGAAATGTTGGGATTTGGCATCGGCGTACAAGCAGGTGCCGCTCTCGGATTCCGCTTACCAACTGGACTCCTTTCTGGTCGTTGACAATCCGCATACTGAAGAGGCTGAGACTTACCAACAGCGTGTGTTGCCTTTCGGATCAGTGGCGTCCGTGGCTGCCTTTCTTAGGTGTTCTATGGCAATCTGGCACATTGGGAGTTCTCTTCTCTTCTTTACTTGGACCGCCTATTTCGACGACTTCCTCAGTATCTGCGAGAGTGATCTGGCTCGTCACACTGAGATATGCACCTCCCTGCTTTTCCAGCTTTCGGGGTGGGGGCTGTCGACGGACAAGTTAGTGCCATATGAAACTTGTTGCAAGGTTTTGGGCATCGAGCTGGATTTCACTAGATCACCTTCTGGTTCCTTCGAGGTTATGAACACCCAGGCCAGGAGAGAAGAGCTGTGCCTTTTCATCGGAGAGATCCTTGAGAAGGGAACTCTGAGCCGGCCAGATGCCGAGCGCCTTCGAGGGCGGCTGCAGTTCGCCTCAAACCATCTCTTCGGCAGAAGGTTCAAGAACTGTCTGCGTGAGCTCAATACACATATATCTCGAGGCTTCAAAAGTTTGACGCCCTTGCGCATGATATCCCACGTGCTGGAGTTGAACAAACCACGCGTGGTGGACACTTGTCATTTTGAGTGGGTGCATCTCTACGTGGACGCGGCGTACGAGCCGGCGGGGCAGTCTGGAATAGGCGGCTTACTTCTGGCGTCTGATGGCTCGTGTTTGGGTTTCTTCAGCGAGAGTGTCCAAAGAACTCGTTGAGTCCATCAAGACCCGACCAGAAGACAGTCATCTTCGAGTTGGAGGGGCTCGCAGTAGCCATAGGGCTCTCAGTCTTTCATTCCATGCTTGCTGGCAAACGTGTTGTCATTTTCACTGACAACCAGGCAGTTCAGTCGTGTCTCATCCGTTGCAAATCCGCGAACCTGCACATGGACTATATAGTACGGTATGTGTGTAGGCAGGAGGAACGTTTGAGCACCATGGCATGGATTGAACGTGTGCCCAGCCAATCCAACCCATCAGATTCGCTCTCACGTGAGGTCGTCGAATCCTTGAGTGACATGAAAAGGACCAGGGTGGACCTTTTGACTATGTGGAAGAAATGCTTGGAAGAAGTGAGAGACGTCACCCTTTACACAGGGGAATGGCGCGATGACGTCGGCTGAACGGATTTTGCCCCATTGGATAAAAGAAGAGCGCAACCTGCAACAGTGCATGCTTTGACTGTTGGATTGCCACTGAGAGTTGTTCGAAGCTGTTGCATTGCAAGACAAAATAAGACGCAACTCAACGCGTTGATGAAGTTTTATTTTTCTCTAAATGCAACTGAGTATAACGTGTGTTATACGCCTTCGAACTACGAACCTTTTCAGATGTAACCCGAAGCACGTGCTTTGACTTGATTTTCAGACATCTCAGACATCGCTGGCTTTGATGTGAATCTGCTTGAGTGTACATCTTGCGCATGTATACAGGGGTATATATATATGTTTGAGTGGATATCCATGTGGATTATACAGGTACATGTATATATACGTATACTCTGATGCTCAGTTTTGAGCAATTGCAATTTTCGTTGAACAAGTTATTTGAAGCTCGTGTGAGCTCAAGATTCAAATTTTCGTCCCACCTCTGCACAGAGGCCCAACCCCTAAAATCATCACTGCAACTTTCCTGTTGCACAGCCAGCTTTTCCATACCGCAGCATGTGCTGCCGTGCAAGTGCACCAAACCTGTGTCAGTGCTTGTTCGTAATTCTATTACGCCTGCAATTTTCGTTTTAATTGTATCCTCTTCAGGTTTATTTTCGCGGTCAGGTGACTCAAATCATTCCATTTCTATGCGTTTCGACGTCATGTCCATCAGCCTACCCAGCCGTCCATGGCGCGATGACGTCGGCTGAACGGATTTTGCCCCATTGGATAAAAGAAGAGCGCAACCTGCAACAGTGCATGCTTTGACTGTTGGATTGCCACTGAGAGTTGTTCGAAGCTGTTGCATTGCAAGACAAAATAAGGTGATGACTCTTTTTTGTGGCTGGACAATTTCCACTGGCGAAGATAAGCGTAAGCCGCAAGCCCTTTGAGAAGAAGTTCGAAATCCTTGGTGCAGTCATTTCTCTTCCCCCTCCATCGGGGGGCCCTGTTGAAGTCGAGAACAAGCAGTCGCGCTAGATCGGATGCCAAGTTGAGGAGCTCAGACATCAGCTTGGGAAAACAGTTTCAAGGAGTTTGTTGGAGTCTCTGAAAGGGAGGCTTCTATACGCCTCTGGCCATACGTTTGGAAAGTGTACTCAGCTTGCATGTCAGCTGCTTCACCGATTTAGCGGTGCAGGCGCTTCCATCAAAGTTTCTGCTGAACTGGTCCATGCAACTGCAGAAGCCCTTACCCTAATCTTCCTAGAAGCTTTGTTTTAGAGCTGGCAGCTCTAATTTGGCATTCTAGGGTCCTAGAAGCTCATTTGGGAAGCTCTAATTTAGAGCTGGCAGCTTTAAATTAGAGCTGGCAGCTCTAAATTAGAGCTTCCCAAACAGGGCTGGCAGCTCAAATTTAAGGCAGCCGCCTTAAATTTGAGCTTCCAGGATTTTTGATAAAAAAGTCACCTTAGAAGCTCTAAAATAGAGCTTCCCAAATGAGCTTCTAGAAGCCCTATTTTTCTTGGCATGCCTGCAGCCCATTTTTGCAAGAGAAAAATGAGCATATACACACATACATACTTATTTGCATTAACTATAGATAAATATAGATAGATAGATAGATAGATAGATAGATGGATAGATAGATAGATGGATAGATAGATAGATCGATAGATAGATAGAATATATACATGTATTTGGCAAAGGTTGCAAAGGAACCATATTTAAATCCACATATATGGTTTCACATACTTTTTGATCACAACTGACAACTGCTAGCTGATTTCATCGCCATGGCAAAGCTGTTGCCTGTGAAGCCTGTGGAAAGGCTGGAAAAGGACAAAGTCAAGCAGCTGGCAGCATTGATCAAAGGCTGCATACCTGATTGCAAACTTGAAGACTTCCCAGCAGATCCAGAGAAAGCCTGCAAAAGGCTGCAAACCTTTCTGTGTTTGTGGTACCCATCCACAAGCAACAAGAAAGCAGATGAGAGGAAAGCTTTCTCAGAAGCCTGTGGAAAGCTGGAAACCCATGAGACAAAAGCGATTGTGAACAATCTGCATGAATACAAAGCTTGGCTGCTCAGAAAAAAAAGAAATTTGAAGACTGGTGAAAGAACAGACCCAACCCTCATGGCCTTGTTCAATGCAATCCTGCAAAAGGATAACCAGGGAATCAATTTAAGCAGTAGCAGCAGCAGCATGAAGATGCCTGGAGAAGAAGAGCTTGAGAAAGCTGATGAAAAGCCTGTGAAAAGGCTAAGAAGCAAACAGCCTCTGAATGACAAAGCAGAAGACAAAACAGAGGTGCCAAAGCCTGCAAAGGCCATATGCTTTGCTTTTGACACCCCTGGAAGTCAAAAGTCCAAAAGCTGTGACATAGTGTCTGTTTCCAGTGTTTCCAGTGGTGGCTTTATGGCACCTGGAGAGTTTTCAGAAGAGCTACCTGAGCCTGCAAAGGCTGGAAAGGCAGGCGCAGCAAAGAAGCCTGCTGCTCATGTGGCTTGCAAAAGGCCAGCTGCTGCAAAGGGAGTAACAAAGAAGCCTGCAAAGGCTAGAAATAAAAAAGTTTGGGTAGTGTCAAAAAGCTTTGGTTTCATCCATGAAACCAAGGCTTCCCAGAAAGCATACATCAATGCAAAGCCAGAGATGGCTGACAAACCATATTGTCTAGTCAATGTTTCGCTGGCAGCAGGCCAGCTGCAAGACATGGTTATGAAGAAAGTGTTTGCAAAGGCACAGGAAGAAAATATGACAAAGGCAAGCCTGGTTCACTACAAGAATGAGCTTTTGGAAGCTGGGGACAGCTCATAAATTGCAAAGCCTGTGGGAGGCTGTCAAAGTCAAGCTGGAAACAGCTGTTGAAGCTGGGGACAGCTCTGTGTGAAGCTTGGGAAATGCTGTTTCTTTTTTGGGTAAAACACCAAAGAGCTTGCAAAAGGCTACCAAGACCTATCAGCTTTCAAGTTTTGAAAAATGTGGCAGCTTGCTGCAGCAGCATCTGTAGAAATGTGAAGGGGGTCAGCTGGCAGTGCAGAAGTATGCAACTCTGTTGCATGGGCTCAAAACAGAACTTGTGCACTTGAGCACAAAAAGCAAAGCAACTAGGCAGATGGCACATATACAAACAAACAGTGTAGCAGAACCACAAAATAGAAAAAAAGCACACACCACTACAAACAGAAACCGTGAGGAACATGTGCATATAGACACACGCACACAGAGACACAAAATCACGCACACACACACACACTTCCTTTCAAACCTGACTCTGTAGCTTCTGCCTCTGCACCTTGCCCACACACAAGCTGTGGGGCCACTAGTGCCATGGGAAGCCAAATGGCTTTTATGTTGCTAGCTCTTCTGCTAGTGACTCAGCCAGGAATGGCTTGGAAGCCAGCAATGGCTTTGCTGGCCTTTTCAACAGAGCCAGTGATGGCTACACGGTTTGCTTGGTGGCATCTGAGGACCTGGTCTGGGCAGTACTATTTTGTACATCCAGATGGATGGTTTGAAGAGCTGGAGCCCTGGGAGCTGGTGGCAATAGAATTTGCATTTGCCACAGAGCCAGCGATGGCTGTATATGTGGATGCTGTGTCTCATATGATGGCACCAAGCCAGGAATGGCCCCCTGTTTGGAATGCTGACCTCCAGATATGGCAGACCAGCAGGGAGGAGCCAGGAAGGGGCTCTACTGTTGCCCAGCCACTGGACCTCGACAGGCTGTGGCATTCCCAACAACAGCCTGCAACAGGCTCTGCTTGGAACCGGCCTGCTGCTTGGAACCAGCCTGGAACAAGCTCTGCTTGGAACCAGCATGCTGCTTGGAACCAGCCTGGAACAGGCTCTGCTTGGAACCACCAGCCTGGAAGAGGCTATGCAAGGTCAAGTTGGGAGCCTGGGCAAGGCTATTGGGAGCCTGGCCAAGGCTCTTGGGGCAGCTCCAGTGGCCCTTCAAGCAGCTCCACAGGGTGCGCAGGTGGAAGGGAACCTGAGCAGCCTTGGAGGTGGAGGGCTGAGGAAGGCTGGTACCAGCCCTATGT